CTAGAAGCTTCAAGAGAGGCCTCTAGACTCTTTGAAAGCCTATTTAAGGAGGTCTCTTGAAGGGGGAAGGCGTTTAATTGCCTAAGTTCAAGACTCTCTAGTTCCTTGGGTTCGAAATTCAAGAAGAGGAGAAGAGAGAGCTAGGCACAAGAAGAAGGAGTGAGGAGATCCAAGTATCCAAGAGAGAAGAAGGTGAGTTCGAAGGAGGGGAAGCTTGATTGAGAGATCTAGGTTACATTCTTACTCAGTCTTTGTTTTCTTTGAATTCGAGTTCAACTTTAGATCATGTAGTTTCTCTTCCTTTCTTTCTTTCTTTCTTGCTGTAATGGAGATTGAATGTTGTAAATTCAGATTATGTAATTAAGTTTTCTTGAATCATTCGAATGAATTAGATCTAGCTTTGATATTTCTTGATTAAGAGAATTGATTGTAGAACTGATGGGCCGAATTGTTCTCTTACAAATCCAGATATGAAATTTCAGTTCTGAGATTTGTAATGTCTGAATTGCTTGAGAAAGAATTCAAACATTCATTATTCAGTTTGGCCGATCTGTTCTAACCTCTTGGAATTTCTAGAGTGCTTGAGAGAGACTCTAGAAATTCGGATCTGCTACTCAATAACTGAATTGAATGCAAGGTTAAAGATAACTTGCACAATTCAGTTGGTGATCAATTCAATCTGAATTGATGCCCTTGAAKTRTTTGATCTAATGCATSCATKAATGATTAGATTCTTGATAGAGATATAAGAATCATCATTCATGCATAGGATGAACATGCACTTAAAGAGGTTGTTCATTGCCTTGGGGTTTCACCAAACCAAGGCTGAATCATACTCTATTCGAATGATCTAAGAGGGCTGATTGCTGAATCATGAATTTGTAATTTTAGCCTATTCTCCCAACTTGAATGCAAGGTGTTGAACCAATGCCTATTAGGTAGTTTGTAGTTTAGAATTTCAGATTTGAATAAACTGTAGGATTTGGTTAATCAGATAAGAGCTGGCTGGTTTAGTATTAGTAGTTGCTACCCACACGATACTCTACTCATTTCTTTATTACTTGAGCGGCTAGTGCACTTGCTAGTGTCACAATGAACCACCAGTTACCATATCTTTATGCATTTTACATCAGAGCATAAGTTTGATATCCACAGTTTTCCTTTTCTGTCATATACTCATAGTTGGTTGGCTTTTCTTTCAGGGGAAAATCTGGCGATGATTTTTACTGGTTTAGAAAATAATAGGTTATTCAACAATTTCAGCTTTAAGACAATTTTCCAGTAATGTAGTTTAACCCTAAAGAAAGATTTTGTATTAATGATTTTGCTTTTGTTTATTCTTGTTATTTTTATTTTGGGAATCAATCCATTGCTCTTATGTGTTATTGTTGTAGTTTAAGCCTGAGAAAGTAACTGCCATCATGAATGACTTTGCTGAACCTGTATCACTTACTCCAACTGTCTCACCTTGGTGGCACTAAGTATATGGTGATCCAAGATGAACCAGGGGCTGTTATTCAAGGGAAGAAGGTAATAATTTCATATCCTTTCTTAACCCATCAACTTCTTTATTTGTATGCTAGTAGATGATATTTAAGGCTTAATGTAAGGCACAACACTTCACATTGCTAAGTGGTTATTGCTAATGGGGCTGAAATTCTCAAATGGTAGGGCATATATTAGATTAGTCAAATCCTTTTTTTTTCTTTTATTATGGGAAAATGGGCTAATGGGGTGGCTCTCTCCCAAACCCAGGTAAAGGCAGGATTCAACCTCAAGTCTCTGCAATGTCCAGCCATACATTACAAGAAAGTTAGTTGGCACCTTCTATCCAAGTGTCTATATATTTTGGATGGTCAAACAGAAGGCTGTATTGATAACATGGAGATATTCCCGGTGCATGGCTGAAAAGGGCTGTGAGAACAGTGTGAGCACAATTTTGTGAGGACTGAATCTGCGCACCTTTGATGTTGTTTGCCTTTGATAAGTGATGCATTGCTAGTATGCCCTTATGGATGCTACAGAATATTTTGAACTACTATTTATATTCCAATTAATTGCTTAGAGTTCAACCCATGTAAATTTTAGTAACTATTTTTATCTTTATAGTTAAAATACTTGAATATAATTCTAATATTTATATGTTTCGATTTGTAGGTTCAACCAATATGTTAAGTGGATTTGCATTGGAAGATGTGCCACATTATTAGAGAATTTAATTGTTTTTTTATGTTCTTGTACTATTTATATGTCAATTGGATATTGTATTTGAACAATGTCTTTTGGATATTTTAATATATAATCTTTGAATTAATAGATTTTATTTTAATTTGATTTTTATCAAATGGTTTTGCTATATTAAATAGGTATGAAAATGCTAAATCAATAGACAATTTAGGTACCACAAAAATGATGCAATTAAGTGGGAATATGATTTTTTTTTTTTGAAAAAAATTGGTTTATGCCAGCGGTCATGCAACCGCCGGTTTAGCCACAAACAACACCTAAGGTAGCGGTCATCTAGCACCTAAGCTGGCGGCCTTAAGGCCTAAGAACCGCTAGCTTTGACCGTTTTTCTCGTAGTGTGTGAGCATTTCCTCATAAGCCCACCTTACTCAATTGGATAGTAAGTGTTGGAAGAATGGGGTCACTGTAACTTTGGAGGAGAAGCTCTGAGGCGCATCTGAAGACACTGTCTTTAGAACGTTATTTGCCCCCACTCAGTTTCACAGAGTTTGTTGTTGGGTTATAGGCAAATTCATTCCCAGGATACAACAGAGCCTTGGGTGAGAATCTGCAACCAGTAAAGTTGAAGAATCTCCGAAGAAACCTTCTGTGAGACTGTAGTAGATTGGACTGAAAGAGAGAGAAAGTGAATTTTGAAATTGTGTTTTTGGAGTCTGATTCATGCTCCTTAAATAGTTTATGAAGAGGTATGAAGAAAAGGTAGGTGCTGGTTCAGAGAAGGCACCTTGAACAGTCACAATTTCAAATATTGTGACTGTTTAAAAAGTAGTTAACAGTTAATGACTGTTAACTTTGAATTGTCCCTCTTGATCATACCCGATCAAATCGTGACCGTTGATCCCATCAACGGTGATCAATGGTCAGCATCGCACCAAAAGCACGAAGTGCGAGCAAAGTGCACCTCTAAAGCGCCTCATTGCGAGGCACACACGCATGCGCGCATGCGCGGTACCGAACCCCCATACTCTCCTCTACTAATTCTAAGGAGTGTAAATCAGCTCCTATTAAAATACTGAAAACAAAGCTTTTAATTTTCCAATGTGGGACAAATTCAAAACTGGATTTTGTAAGAGAAAAGCTAATTTTTCAATCAAGTGTGGAGGTGCAATTTCTCATGTAATTGACCAATCAAACCCATTGGATTTAATCTCTTATGAGATTAAAATCCAACAGTAAGTATCCTTGCCAAGATACCCAATGATGTTTCTTTTCATCATAAATATCAACACACAAGAAATTACTAAGGAGGGATTCAGCCTTGTTCGATACCCAGTTTCAAGGGTAGAAACCACATTCAAACAAGATTTTGCCTCCATGAAACAAAATTTTTACCCTTCCATCCAGCAATTTTTGCTGCTATTTCCTATAAAATATCTTCAAATAAAGTACTTTTTATTATGCCTTTTGTAGTATATAAAGGTAGATGTTTTCTGACGTAAAACCGGTTACCTACTCTATTATTTGAGTTCTTGATCTTGTAAGTGTATTCAAGATCACGTAGCAAATTTTCATATTTCTCCAAGAAATCCATAATCTTCAAAATGGTTTTTGAATATTACCTCTTGCAAATATGATAGGCTATGACATCCTCGAGAAGCATAATGATAAATTACAGCATCTTCCATCATCATTTTTCTCAATCCTTTACCCATAGGTGGATTTAGAAAATGCATGAGAAAACCTATCAATACCCAAGGAGAGACCCAACCCAAGAATTGGATATCATTTTCTGAACCAGCTGAATCCAATCATCAGTAAAACCATAGGTAATATAACTAAAATCTTCATAAAAAAAAAACTCCAATTTTTTTTTTCTCTAATGTGAAGTTTCCTAAAGGGACACAAATGATTTTGATGGAAATGAATAACACAGAATTGCTTATATGGTAGGGATTGCGATTTGGTCGGGTGCAGTCAGATCCTGCAATTTTAAACGAACAGAAGCTCAAAAGTTTGGGATTTTTAATTTTTTTTTTTTTTTGTCTGGGCTTAAGCCTGATCCTTAATTAATCCAAGCCTAACCCGACCTTTATCCACATCAGCCTGGCCTGATATATACATACATTTTCGTCAAATTTTGGCATGGACTGATTGACCAATTTGAGCCCATCCAAGCTCAAGCACAATCCAAATGCATCAAATTTCAGTGCAGATTAGGCCCAGGTTAAAAGATCGGGTTTGATGTTGGACTTGGTCCAGGCTCCAGCCTTAGGCTCAATTCTTATTCTTAGGTTGGTCTTGGTCTGAATTCTGAACTTAAACTCCACCTAGGCCTCTCGACTTTGAAACCGGATCTGTTCCTCACATAGGGCACCTCATACCGCCCTCACATGCACATCCTACCATGCATTGGGAACATCATCAGTACTTATTATTCACAGGAGATATTCCCAATGCACGGTGAATGTGTCTGTGAGGCGCCCATGGCCATGTGTGTATAAAGTATTGGTAGCTAGACAAGTATGGCATTTGGCACAAGTTCCAATCTGATCCCAACACAGGGACAAGGTCCCAAGTCCCAAGTCCCAAGTCCCAACGGCCATTGGGAACATCATCTCCCGCGCGTATTCTTTTATTGGCGAGATGTTCCCAATGAACGGATACAATGACTGCTGGAATGTGCAATTATCCAATATCCAATTCGTTGGCAGAGTGGTTGACATTATATGATGAACAAATATGAATTGATTATTACAATGTAATAGTAAGTACTAGACAAGGCAAGACGGGCGTAAGGCAGCTAGCTAGCTTAGCTAGTCAGTTAAGAACTCTCTGAGCATGGAGAAAGTGATGGAAGCCCTTCTGAAGTCGACGAGATCAATCCCATGGAAACCAATCTCATCAAAATGAGCTTCAACTTGGACGCCATGTTTCAGTAACATCTCCACCAACTCCTTCTGTCTGTCGGTGCTAACATCCCCACCGAACCCCCTCACGAAGCATTTCCCCAACAATCTAATCTTATCAGTGGTGCACCCTTCCACCATGGGGTTACAGAACTCGTGGTCACGATCCGCTCCCACCGGCAATATCGACTTCCAGTACTGATCCGTCATGGACAGAGGCAATATCAGATCGTTGGCATATTGCAGCTCTGATCTTGTCCTCTTCACCCCACCAAACACAGGCTGGCTCAATATCAACCCACACAACTTCACTGGCTCAAGGTCTAGTCCCAACAAGTGCAGCATGGAGAAGTAAGCGATGTTGCCACCACTGCTCCACCCCACAATATAACACTGCGAGAAGTCACCCAATTCCCTCAACCACGGCTCACCATCGCTGTCCAATGCCTGTTTCCTAACCCACCGAATTGCAGCCTCCACGTCATAGAAGGCCGTCGGTAGCCGGTGATTTGGACCCAGTCGGTAATTCACATGGAGGACTAACGCAGGAAACGAGATGGCACCATGCTCGCAAATTTTGTCACTGAACATGGAGGATGAACCACTGAGGATGAGTCCGCCATGGAGGTAGAACGTAATGGGCATTCGGGTACTAGTCTCCGTCTTGCCATCACTACTACTACATGTTGATGTTGTGGTTGGTCTGAAGATGCGGATCGAGATGCCCTTCTCGGCATCGATGACTACATCTTTGACGAGCACAGTTGGTTCTGATTCCTCCACCACCACGGTCCAAGGGTTCTCACTCTCCACTTCCACTTCCATCGATCACCACTGCTCTATATACTATAGCTAGCTAGCTAGTAGCTACCCTTTCGCCGATTGCCTGTCTAGCACTGTCACTCACTCACGTCGCCATGGAGGGATATATAGAGTAAAACGCAGGGATGCACGCTCACCGGCCGGAGAGGGTGAGGGAAGGGAGAGGTAGTTCTACCCTCCACCATACAGTGGATGGCGAACCGTTTCCCCTTCTAAACAGGATGGATCCCTCTACATATATTTAAACTCTTAACTTGTCCCTATAAAAGGTTGACGTAGTACAGGATTCGTTAAATTTTTATGGACACAATCCATTAATTGGTTTAATACGACCGAATCGTTCTCCATTCTTTTCTCAATTTTAACCTAAAAATTAAGAGACTTTTCATTTTTCTATATATGGAGGGGCTGGCTCTTGCTCTTGGGCCTATGCCAAGCCACACTTTTGACCACCAATTAATTGTACACCCCCCCAAAGTAGAGTTGGGGTAGGTGCCGGTTCGGAATTCATGCCAATTTAGCGGACGGGCATTGATATATAGAGCGGAGGCATTTAATATTTTGAATGTTTATAGATTTGCTGTAGAATTCTGAAATCTGCATTGAGCTTGTCCATACTATTTCATTTATTAATTATTCGATCAGACCAATCCATCAAATTTAAAATACCAAAACTTGCTCTTACACCAAAACCTTTTAAGTCCAAAATATATCATCTCACTTGTTACAGAGTGTATACTCTTAGCTTCAATCAGAATGATGTATATTATGACATTTAATGTAAATGAATAAAGTACATATTTGATTCATGTTATTATGGTATGTTTTTGTGTAATACCCTTAAACTGGACACATATGAGACTCGTGTTAGTTTAGAATCTTCACAGTCGTTGGATAGATTTGGTGAGATTTATCC